CCCAGGACCCTCACCCTCTTCATTATTTTTTCTGCTGGAAAAATACACTTTTAAGACCATGGGAAACATCTTCTGTTACATTAAGGTGGCTTGCTCCTTGGTGCAGCTAAGATTAGCACATTCGTGAAAGTGTAATTAAACTATATTTTAAAAATGTCTACATTTAACTAAAAAGCCTAGACTAAAAATCATTCATTTAAAAAACAGAATCCATGCTTATTACTATATTTCATCCATTATCTTTTGGTGTAAAAATGTAATAGTTATTTTAAAAAATTTGAGAAAAATAATCCACACATGAAAAATCCACACATTGACAACATCTTCAAGAAACAAACAGTGATTCATGTCAGACTGTAGGATCTCATAGAGTTTGATTTTAAAAATAATTGGAAGAAAATTCCTTTTCACTTAACATGCCATAAGGTGTAATCTGCATACACACTGCAATAAATAGTAGTGCTCTGGTCAAAGGTTAAGTGAGACTTTATCGAACCAGCTAAACAGAGATATTATGATTCAGTGATCAGCACATAATGCAGCTCTCAAATGCTCAACAGAACGGATGTTTGCCAGGCATTCAGCAAATATGCCTATGCCCCCTCCCCCTTCACTTTTTATGTATCATTTAGGCCCTTTGGTCTTTAAGCACATCTATTGATGCACAACCAAATAGGTCATTAACTTAGCAGTAATTCTTCCATTTGTGAAATTAGTTTTATAGAGGATCTTACCACCTTTGCTTCAAATCAATATGCTGCATGTGTTCTTTTCCTGAAAAGGATGCCAATCTTGAACATTGGGGGGAGGGATAGAACTTTTAAGGTTTATTTTGTAATTATTACAAAACACAGCAACTCATTTGTCCTGCTTTGGTTAAGGTTGTAAGTAGGGCTGTCAATTAATTGCAGTTAACTCATACGATTAACTAAAAAAAATTAATCGTGATTTAAAAAATTTAATTGTGATTAATCGCCGTTTTAATCACACTATTAAACAATAGAATACCAATTGAAATTTATTAAATATTTTGGATATTTTTCTACATTTTCATATATATTGTATTCTGTGTTGTAACTAAAATCATAGTGTATATTTATTATAAATATTTGCACTGTAAAAATGAAACAAAAGAAACAGTATTTTACAATTCACCTCAAACAAGTACTGTAGTACACTCTGTTGAGAAAATGCAACTTACAACTGTTGATTTTTTGTGTGTGTTACATAATTGCACTCAAAAACAAAACTATGTAAAACTTCAGAGCCTACAAGTCCACTCAGTCCTACTTTCTTGTTCAACCAATCGCTAAGACAAACAAGTTTGTTTACATTTACAGGGGGGAGGGATAGCTCAGTGGTTTGAGCATTGGCCAGCTAAACCCAGGGTTGTGAATTCAATCCTTGAGGAGGCCATTTAGGGATCTGGGGCAAAAATCTGTCAGGGGATTGGTCCTGCTTTGAGCAGGGGGTTGGACTAGATGACCTCCTGAGGTCCCTTCCAACCCTGATATTCTATGATTCTATGATAAGATAATGCTGCCCACTTCTTATTTACAATGTCACCAGAAAGTGAGAACAGGCATTTGCAAGGTATTTATATGCCGGATATGCTAAACATTTATATGTCCCTTCATGCTTTGGCCACCATTCCAGAGGACACACTTCCATGCTGATGACACTCATTAAAAAAAATGCATTAATTAAATCTGTGACTGAAATCCTAGGGGGAGAATTGTATGTCTCCTGCTCTGTTTTACCCGCATTCTGCCATAAATTTCATGTTATAGCCATCTCAGATGATGACCCAGCACATGTTCATTTTAAGAACACTTTCACTGCAGATTTCACAAAATGCAAAGAAGGTACCAATGTGAGATTTCTAAAGATAGCTGCAGCACTCAACCCAAGGTTTAAGAATCTGAAGTGCCTTCCAAAATCTGAGAGGGACGAGGTGTAGAGCATGCTTTCAGAAGTCTTAAAAGAGCAACACTCAGATGCGGAAACTACAAAACCCAAACCACCAAAAAAGAAAATCAACCTTCTGCTGGTGGCATCTGACTCAGATAATGAAAATGAACATGTGTTGATCCGCACTGCTTTGTTATCGAGTAGAACCCATCATCAGCATGGACGCATGTCCTCTGGAATGGTGGTTGAAGCATGAAGGGACTTAAGAATCTTTAACGCATCTGGCACATAAATATCTCGCGACACCGGCTACAACAGTACCATGAGAACGTCTGTTCTCACTTTCAGGTGACATTGTAAACAAGAAGCGGGCAGCATTATCTCCTGCAAATGTAAACAAACTTGTTTGTCTGAGTGATTGGCTGAACAAGAAGTAGGACTGAGTGGACTTGCAGGCTCTAAAATTTTACATTGTTTTGTTTTGGAGCGCAGTTTTTTTGTACATAATTCTACATTTGTAAGTTCAATTTTCATGATAAAGAGATTGCACTACAGTGCTTGTATTAGGTGAATTGAAAAATACTATTTCTTTTATTTTTTCACAGTACCAATACTTGTAATCAAAAATAAATATTAAGTGAGCACTGTACACTTTGTATTCTGTGCTGTTACTGAAATCAATATATTTAAAAATGTAGAAAACATCCAAAAATATTTAAATAAATGGTATTCTATTATTGTTTAATCGTGCAATTAATTTTTTTAATCACACGACAGCCCTAGTTGTAAGTAGTTCTATTGTGAATTTTTTCTTTTTTTGGCAGGGATTTTAAAATCTGGTCATAAAAAGTTCACTCTCAGCAAAATATTTTAATTTAGGAGGGAAGTTTGGTGGAGTTTATAATGGCTACGATTTTCTCGCAGAGGTCACAGAAGTCATGGAATCCGTGATTTCCAGAGACCTCCATGACTTTAGCTGGCAGCACCTGGGAGCTGCAGGGTCCCCCCACTGCCTGTGACAGCTAGGAACGGTGGGGGCCCCGAGCTCCCAGCCGCAGCGGGGGTACCCCACAGATTGGAGCCACCATGGTGGTGTAGGGACCCCGCAGCTCCCCATTTTGTCATGCGTATTTTTAGTATAAGTCACGGATAGGTCACGAGCTTCCATGAATTTTTCTTTATTGCCCGTAACCTCAATTATGAGTATGGGAATGAACAAGAATAAAGCAGAACTGCTTAGCCAAGAACAGTGCCGAACTAAAGGAAGAGAAAAAAACTTAGATAGCAGGAAGTTGGCAAGGTCATATGACTTCCTTCCAGTGGTACCCAACCTTTTCAGCCAAAAAAAAGGTATTGCAAAATATCAAGGGATGCTACCAGGAAGGGAAAGACTATTTAAAGCTGCCCCAATGTCCATCTTACACTCCCTTCTACTGCTAGGGAGGAGAGATAGCTCAGTGGTTTGAGCATTGGGCTGCTAAACCCAGGGTTGAGAGTTCAATCCTTGAGAGGGCCACCTAGGGGTCTGGGGCAAAATCAGTACTTGGTCCTGCTAGTGAAGGCAGGGGGCTGGACTCAATGACCTTTCAGGGTCCCTTCCAGTTCTATGAGATAGGTATATCTCCATATATTATATTATTACTACTGAATTGGGTGCCTAAAACCAGCTCTCAGTTCAAGCCCCTAACCCCAAACTTTAGGTTCCAAAGTGCTCTGCCATTTATTTAGAGTACCAGATGGGCTTGGAAAGGGAAGAGATGACCTTTTTCAAACCTTACTTTTAGTGGCCCCACCCCTCAGAAACCCACTTATCTCTGCCTTTAACCCGCACCTAGCCCCCAACCCGTTTTGCAAGCACATTCCTCAGCCCAAATTCCTGAAGAGAACCTTTGGTTCTTTTTCCTGAAGCCTCCAGCCCCCAGGAACTCAGCCCATCTTTCCCACCATACACAGCCCCCAGTTTTCCCACGAAAAACAACCCCCTCCCCCATATCTCTCCCTCCTTCCCTTCTATGCTCCTCAGGAATACCCCCAATACTTGCCTTAGGTCCCTATTCACCCCATTCCCATTCCCCAAAATAAACTCTTTCCAAAAACAAAACCACTCAACTGCAGTGGGGGTATCCCACCTCCAAAATCAATGACTACTGCCCCTACTGCCCTGTCTGGGACCTCTGCTATTGTCTCTCTTCCTCATGCCCTTTCCAGACAGCCAACACTCCTACTGAACCAGCAGCAGTTACGCTTGCTTGCTCCCCTTTCCCTTCTGCTTCACTTTCTTTTCTTCTGATGACTTTGTGGCTCTAGTCCTCTGCACTACCTTCCTCTTAAAGGAGCAGCAACTCAGAGGTTCCTCACTTCCCCTCCTGGGGAAACTGCACTAGGGGACTTTTAGCACAAAGCAGTAGGGTCCACACAGACAGCTTCTGTACGGGAGGCTAAAGTGCTACACATTACACCACAGCTTGTCACTCACTAACTCACTGTATAGACAATCCCCAAGACTTAATATATTTTGCATATGCATATATCTATATTTACGTGTGTGTATTTTGTGTAAAACAGTTTAAATTATAACTCAACTTCAGTTATCAAAAAAATGAACCAGCAGCTCATTCTTTTACTTAATAATTTCTAAAACAGAATAGAGTAGAACAAAAGATTAAGATTCATTAAGTGTAACAATAGGACCTACATATTACAGTGATGGATTAATTTAGAAATGCATACAGTTAAAAGCTTGGTGCTGACTAAAATTTTTAAAAAATAAGAGCAACATGATACAAGTGTACCAATGTATCCAGCTAATTCTGACAAACCAGACTGTCTTAATTGCTCAACTAAAAAAAGCAAAATCATGAAATAATTTCACTTTGCTCCTAACTCAACAATTAACACCTACACATGTCAATGTGAGTTGTATTTGGCCGACATATGTCTCTCAATTTAGTAAATGTTGTTTGTTTTGTCCAAAATGTCTGTATATATGCACACTCATTATGAGGGTTCTGTCAATATAATTTTTGGAGGACTGCATTATAGATAAGTGAGGAATCCACGATACTAGTGTGCATTTAATATAAACTTACACTACAGTTTTCTGGTGGAACTAGAAGCTGTGTAATCTCTCCACCATGGACACAGAAGATGTGTTTCATTTCTCCAGAAAAGATGTCCCATATAATGACTGAGAAATCCACACCACCTGAGATCAAGTATCTTTGGTCATAACGAGATGAGACCTGATGAGGATACAGTAAACATGTAACTTTGTTCCGATGAGCCCGGAGATTTCTGTGAGGTGGCCAACCTGGGAAATAATTAAAAAAAAAAAAAAAAAAAAA